CAAAACAATTCACATTGTGGTGTCACTGGCAATTCTGCTGCCATCTACTGAGTCAAATTGGTACTACATTCTAATAAGTCCTAACCAAAGAAACCTATTATTATGCTTCCATTTTAATGCTTCCCAGTTTGTGTTACAATTGTTTGTGTTTACCTGTGTTTCTAGATTGCAAGTACCCACAGATATGTAGGATATCTTATTAACCTTTTAATAGATAATCAGGAAATGGTTATTGAATTAAATAATCTTGCATGGCCCTTGGCCAAAAAGACTAGCTCAAAAAACTTTCTTGAGGGCTATTCTCCAACATTCAGAACTACTATAATTATATGACACTGAGGAAGGAAACTAGTTAATTTTTTAATTCCATAAGAACAGATACTCCTAAACCAAGTGTGGTGGCGCACAGCTGTAATCCCAGAGGCTCAGCAGGTTGAGGCAAGAGGGTTGCAAGTTCAAGACCAGTCTCAGCAATGTATTGAGACCCTGTCTAAAAATAAAACCATAGGGCTGGGGTTGTGACTCAGTGGCAGAGCACTTGCCTAGCACAAGTGAGGCACTGGGTTTGATCCCCAGCACCACATAAAAAAATAAACAAATAAAATAAAGGCATTGTGTCAATCTACAACTCAAAAAATATTTTTAAAAAATAAATAAAGATAAAACATAAAAAAAGACTGGGGATGTAGCTCAGTAGTAAAGAGCCCCTGGGTTTAAACCCCAGTACCCAAAACAAAACAACAAAAAAACTCCTACAACTTTCCTCATTCATCCAGTATCAGCCTTCACAGTCTCCACTTTCAGCAAATTTTTGTCTCAATTTAAAATGGTTTATTCTTTAAAAAAAAAAAAGAAAAAAGTTTATTCTTAGGCTACGGATATAACTCAGTAATAAGAGTGCTTGCTTAGCATGCTCAAGGACTTGTTTGATTCCCAATACTAGGAAGGAAAAAAAAAAGCTTATTCTTTAGTTCTTTACCTGATGTGGATTAAAGTTGATTGTATCTTTAATGTGAGGGCCTTTACATACTCACGGGCCGAATGGATTGTTATTGTACTTTTGTTTTCTTCCAAAACTGAATGATCCCTTTCCTTCAACCTTTTTTTTGTCTTCATTTTCTACACATGCTCAAAATGTATAGTTTTCTTAATGATATATTTCAAAATTATTTCCATTGCTCAAATTAGCATTTAGGCAGAAATGAGTATAAACGAGAATTTTTGGTACGTGCTATTACCCTGAAGACACAGACATACCTTGCATCAGGCAAACCTTACATTTGCTGGGAGTTGGTGATTCATTTCAGAATATTCTCAGCAAGATATCTTCAACATGACTACTTCAGTATTATTATAACTTATAAAATGTTCACGTTGAGCAATTCTTTCATAAATTACAAACCACAGTGAATGCAGCCATAATCCTACTAATGTCTAGCTGATGTATCACTTGGGTTTAAGATATGGGCTATTGTGATTAGCATACTGCAGCACAATTCACAATAGCTAAATTATGCAATCAACCCAGATGCTCATCAATGGGTGAATAGATTAAGAAATTATTCTCTCTCTCTCTCTCTATATATATATATATACACACACAAAATGGAGTTCTACTCAGCTATAAAAGAAAAAATGAAATTATGGCATTTGCTAGTAAATAGATGGAAGTGGAGAATATCACACTAAGCGAAATAAGCCAAACATAGAAACTCAAAGGTTCAATGATTTTTCTCATATGTGGAAACTAGAGTAAAATAAATGAAATGGGGAGAGAAGAATAGAATAATATAAAGAACCAATCAAATATAAATTAATGAGTGAAAGGATGTTAAGTAGAGGAAAGAGAATGGGAGAGGGAAGGCAGGATGGGAGGAAAGGGAGAGAAAAGGGAGACTCATGAACTAAAATAGAATTCCATGAACATACAAGTTTGTGGGGATTAACCCAAATACTATAAAACTGTATAACTATAAAACCCTAATTTAAAAAAATAAAAAGAAAGATATGTGCTTTATTCTTGTATCTGCTGCTGAGTTCCTCAGCTCAGTGGTAGAGCACATGCTTAGCATGTGCAAGGCCCTGTCCTGTGTTCAATCACAACACCAAAAAAAAAAAAGGAAGTGTGAAGTGAATGTGAATATGTGTGGTGAGCAAAGAATTCCAGGAAAACATGAATAGGATATAGTGTCAAATATATATTTATAAATAATGTAGAGTAACTTTTTAAGGGCCATATTCCTAAGAATACAAATTTTACACACACACACACACACACACACACACACACATATATATATATATATATATA